CATGAGCACAGCACACAGTATAGCCACGCTCTTAAGCACAATTACCACTGTCACATCTGTGGTAGTATTCCTAGACCCGGAGAAGGCTTTTGAATTTGCAAGTCCTCTTACCATTCAGGAGACCCTGATCCAGAGGGGAATTAGAGGAAAGCACTTGGCTTGGAAAGGTAACTATTTCAGGAACAGAACAGCCAGAGTCAGATTCCAAGGTCACCTATCACAGCACATGCCACTAGAAAATAGAATGCCACAAGGTGGGGTCCAGTCCAGCCCTATTCAACACCCTAATGTCCTGTATCCCCACCATACACCTCACAGTGGGGTGAAAGATCATCTACTATGCAGATGATCTTGTAATCATCTCCACTGGACCACACTAACTAAGTAGAGTCCAGCATTGTCTGGACCTTGTATCTGAGGAGTGTTGTAGGACAGAATTAAAGATCTCTGCAGCCAAATCAAAAGCAATGGCTCTAAGACACAATGTTCAAGGCACAAGTCTGAGAACCTAGGGTCCAGGACTTACAATACTTCGGGGTAAGGATTGACCGGACCCTCTCCTTTCAAAAGGAGGTCCAGTACCTGGTTGACCGAACCAAAATAAGACTGGGAGACACATAGGAGCTGGACATAGAGTACTAAGATCATTCTATGTACATGTCATATACCCCATTGTGGATTATGCTTCTGTCGCCCTGATTGCTGTAAAGACAAAATGAAGAGAAAAATGTAGGCTGCCAGGATCATTCTGGGTGTCCCAAGGTGGACGAAGATCCTCAACCTCCTCCTGGAGGCAATCCTTCTCCTTTTGGACTCACAAATTGATCTATTGGTAGCACAATTCTTTTCAAAGGGCATCCGGGCACCCAGGAACACAAGCCTGAGACAAAAAATACTCGGACGCCTAGATCACGAGTTCTCCGTCTCACAAAACCATGGTGTTAATATGCTATCAGCTCAAGGAACAACTACTTGCTAAATACATTGGATTCCCCCACCCTGACTTTTTATCGAAGCCCGGCCGTGGGCACAAAGTTTGTCAAGGAAAAAGAATCAATACCTCATGCCTAGTCTAAAGGCAGAAGCCGAGAGGGGCATTGCAGTCATCACTCCTCCGGGTAGTAGAAAATACTTCACGGATGGATCAATCCATCCCTTTAGCCACAGTGCAGGTGCCGGCTTTGCAATAAGGGATACCACAAAATCCATGAAGGTAGCAGGCAACGACTATTCGTTACAGGCAGAGGTAGTTGTGATCATGGGAGCCCTAGCCTACGCGTCCCTAAGGGGAGGACATGTGGTCATACATACAGACTCCAGGGCAGCCATTGACTGTCTTCAACACAGCTCACCCAAAGACAACATCTACCTCCTGGCCACTGTGCTTACCATCAAGCAGAGGATTCTTGCTCAGGGTAGAAGAATAATCATTAACTGGGTCCCCAGCCACATTGACATCAGAGGGAATGTGCTTGCTGACAGACATTGGTAGGGGTATGCCCCTAAATTCCATGACCATACAACCGAGCCGAAAAAATCTTAAGGCAGAAGTGTAGTGCCACAGTTCGTGCCTACTTCCTGCAGCTTCACAGAGAGAAAACGAGATCCTCCCCCTCTGCCAGATGGTACTCAGACGCCAAACGTTATGAGCCACTGGCACTCTCTGAAACAATCAACAGAGGTACCGAAGTCATTCCTCACAGAATCAGACCAGGTTGCGATTGCGCATGGCAGATCATAGAGACAGCTGACCATGTAAATGGGTGTTGCATGCATTATGGCGAGCCGAACACCACTCTGGTACTTACAGAGTTGTGAACACACAATTTCTGAGACAGAGACCGCCCACAACAGCCGCCGGGCTGGTAAAGAGATTATGCCGTATGCTTACATCATGGCGGCAGGAGCGCCTACTGGCAATCCCGCCACCACGGTAAGCATTGAGTGTCAGAGAACAAAACCAGACAGCTATAAATAGCTGACACAGACCGGACCACATATATGGAAGGCCCGGGCAATCAATTATCAATTCTCTACATATTTTCACTTTACCTTGCCGTCTTTCTTTCCTCGATTCATTTATTTGCTACCTGTTACAGTGAACATATAGCAACATATTGGCATAAAAAGAATTATACCTTCATAGCGCTTCGCTGTTCGCTTTTAGCCTTTCCGAGTAATGTCTGAATGCTATCATTTAATACATATTCGATTTTGAAATACCTATAATCAAGATGATTTTAATTCCACTGAGTTATAATTTTTACAAGGTATTTACAGCATATAAACGATTCTGCAGTCAACTTTTTCGGGACCTAACCTGGAAATGGTGCCAAATGTATGCCAAAAAATGTGCATTAATTTATAAAGTTATACGGTAATTTAGATATAGCAGACGGGACCGTCTGAGCTTAGCTCTTCTTCCGTACTGAACAACTAGGTAAGAACACATACACACACACACACACAAAACACACACACACACGCACACACGCACACA